AGGGACTAGGGGGAGGGAATAATGGGGAGTTACTATTTAATAGATTAAGTTCTGTAAGATGAAAGCGTTCTGGAGATGGATGGTGGAGACACTTGCACAACATTATGAATGTAAGACCACTGAACTGTACACAGTAAGAAGATTAAGATGGTGAAATTTATATGTATTTTACCACAAAAAATTTGGGGAAAAAAATAAAACCAACCTAAAAGCTATAAATTTAAAATGTTTGCAAGGAGGTTTAAAAACAAAAGACAACGTGTATGACATTATGATAAGCACAAAAGGCAGGTTGCAAAATTGTATATACACAACAACCTCAGCTGTGCTTTAGAAAAGGTCTGAGGTAATATACCAAGATGCTGACAGTAATAGCCACTAGGTGATAGGATTGTGAGGATTTTTTTTTTTATATATTTTACTGTACTTAGCAATTTTCTACAATGAACATGTATTTATTGATAACAGCTAAAATAATAAGCCCAAATAAAAGCTTTATCTTCCATATCAACTATTGATGAGACAGCTAAAATTTCTGCCCTTAATTTGTAGGACAGTGTTTAAGAAATGGCTTTTAGTAGTGCATTTTTAAATCATAAGTTATAATATAACCTAAAATTTAAAAAAGTTATGTGATATAAATATAAAGCAGGTTTATAGATTTTAAATTTTGATTTTTGTATTTTAGTAACGCATATATTGTGTTTTCAGAATTAATATATTGTCATTAACTATTTTTACAAATGGAAAATAAAGGTATAACGTAAATATCTCTCAGCTCTAATAAAACATGGCTTTGTTTTCTCTTCAGTTTCCCCCAGCTTATACAGGCATATCTGAGGTGAACCAGCCTGCTGAATTGATGCCCCAGTTTTCTACAATCGAGTATGTGATACAGGTAACTTTTTTGTCTCACATTTAAGAGCATAATACTGAGTTTCTCTTTAAATGCTTTGTCTTCTGTGTCTCTTAAATGTCTGGGGGATATAAAGTTGTGAGGGTAGCAAGATCCTTAAATATTAGGTTATGGAGTGCATTATTTGCAGGTCTTGGGAGAAGGCTATAAAAAAGGTAGCACTGATTAAATTCAAACCCTGTCTTCCACAGCCTTCTGCATTTCAGTTGATGGTACTCTGTCTTCTAGTTGTTCAGCTTAAAAGCCTTAACTTCTCTCCCTCTCTCTCACACATCCCACATCTAATCCATTAGGAAATCCCATTGGGTCTATATTCAGAATCTATCCAGAATCCATCCACTTCTTTCTCCCCACTACTCCTGTTCTGGGCCAGCCACCACCTTTCATTTGAAGTCCTGGGCAAGTCTCTTAACTCTTCTCCCTAGTTTTGCCCTTGCCCACTTATATTTTATTCTTTTTTTTTAAAGATTTTTATTGGGGAATTAGGGGATGGGAACAGTGCTGGGGAATCGGGGGAAGGGGAACAGGCAAGTTGCTGTTGTTTTGTTCTTCAGTCTAGTTGTGGAGGATGTTGCTTCACTGGCCCAAGTTGGCACCATCATTGCGCTCTTCCCGGGCGAGGCAGATCAGTCGCCGGCCTCTGGATGGCCGCTCACTGTAGTTGCTGGCTGCTTACACTGGCTGCCGGCTACACATGGTAGCTTATGGCAACCCATTGCAGCAGGGGACTTCAGCCTATGCCATCTCAGGCGACCCACAGCAGCCCAGCTCCAGGTCGAGCTGTTATTCAGCATCTTAGCTGTAGAGGGCAGTGTCACTGATCCTCATATGTGGGATTCAAACCGGGGTCCTCTGGCATCACAAGCCAGTTCTTAACCAACGCACCACTCAGCCTGCCCCAGGCAGGGATCTTTATTCTTTTGGTTTGCTGATGTATCCCAGGACCTGGAATAGTGGCACATAGATGGCTTTTAAAAAATGGAATAAATTGTGGAATACAAATAGTTTTTACTTTGTTTTAATAGAACTTGTCATTTAATGAGATAAGTCGAGATTTGTTTAGATGTTCTTATCCTCTGACAGTAAATAATAGATGACTTGTTATTTACATACCTGATTTGCTTTAAAAAGAGCTGGATATATCTGTTTATATATTGATTATTATGCTGTTTTTCTTTTCATAAAGCGAGGTCCACAGTCCCCTCTAATCTTCCTCTATGTGGTCGACACGTGCCTAGAGGATGATGACCTTCAAGCACTCAAAGAATCCCTGCAAATGTCCCTGAGTCTCCTTCCTCCAGACGCTCTGGTGGGTTTGATCACGTTTGGGAGGATGGTGCAGGTTCATGAACTCAGCTGTGAAGGAATCTCCAAAAGTTACGTCTTTCGAGGGACCAAGGACCTAACTGCAAAGCAAATACAGGTTTGTGCTTTGCTTATACACAAGCAGAAACAAAGGTATTTCTTAAAAGTTAATTAATCTTTCACTTTCATTGTTATGGGAAGTGAGTCTTTTTTTTTTTTTTTTTTTTTAAGGATATGCTGGGCCTGACCAAACCTGCCATGTCCATGCAGCAAGCAAGACCTGCTCAACCGCAGGAGCACCCTTTTGTTTCTAGCAGGTAAGCTACCAACATAGAGTGTTACACATACAGTAGTGGGCAATGCAATCCACTGGAGTGAGGGAAGAAAAATGTTAGAACTTTTAGTTTTTTATTTTTAGAGCAAAAAAATAAATTATTAAGCCTAACCATTATTTAATATTTAATAATGTGTATAACACATCAGTATGTGTATAGTATATAACTAAATTAAATATGCAGTCACTTACATATATACACATTCACATGTGATGGGTTTGCTCAGAATGCTTTTTCTGTTAGCATTATATCATCATAAAGGTTTTGAGACCATTGTATTCAATCATTCTCCTCCTCTTAGACACTTGACTGCCTTTTTGATTCTTAAGTGGGAAAACGGAAAAGGCTTCTATTGGGTGTCCTCAGACAAACCTGAGACGCAGCACTTACTTCACTCAGCCTGTTGAGTGCCTGGGGCTGTCCTGGGCCAGGCAGGTTAACCGTCAGCAAACATGATAAAATGCATTGTGTGACCGGCTGGGACAGCCTAGCACTCTGGTAAGACACCAGTGTTTCTCTATTACTCCCATGGCTCAAGAGAAACACAAACTATGAATCTTTAGATTGATGAGGATTGTCTACATGAGTGAACTTTATGATTTGCTCCTATTTAAATTTATTTTTTCCATGCTGTGTATATAAATTGCTATATATTAGGCTTTAAAACATATTCTTGAATAAAATTGCTTTGAATTGTTTTGTGTTTATAGTTAGCGATAACTTGGAAGAAAAAAAATTGCAAGTTTTTTCTACTCTGAATAATTATTTTGAAGAGCAGTTATCTATGTGTCACCTAGGGCTGAAGACCAGAGTACTTTATTGAACCAGGATTCATGTGTTTGTTCAAAATCATGCAGATTTCTTCAGCCTGTTCAAAAGATTGACATGAACCTCACTGACCTTCTTGGGGAGCTGCAGAAGGATCCATGGCCCGTAACTCAAGGAAAGAGACCTTTGCGATCCACTGGTGTTGCTTTGTCAATTGCTGTTGGCTTGTTGGAGGTAACTCAGAATTTACCAGGACCCCTCAAACCATGCAAGCTTGCTCTCAGAAGTTGTGTTTATTGGTCTTATTTGAAAATCAGTTGCGACCTAAGTCAACTGACTATTAACAGAAAGTGCTTCAGCCATTATCCACTAAGAAGGAGCTTCTCAATGTTTTGAAAATACCAAAAGTTTTGATGAGAAACACAAAGCAATTAGGGCAATTGGCTCACAGTAAATTAATAAAAGTATACAAAACCTTCAGGTTGGAAAAGATAACGCTGCTTCTCTGCATTGTCACCTGCATTACTCTGCAATATCATCAGTATGTAGTACAACTGATGAGAACTCATCTTTGTAGTATTTTTTTTTAGGGAAACAGAAATATACTTGGGGTGGGATTGTATGCTTCTAACATGCTGCCATTTACTGTTTTAGGGCACTTTTCCAAACACAGGAGCCAGGATTATGTTGTTTACTGGGGGTCCCCCCACCCAAGGGCCTGGCATGGTGGTTGGAGATGAATTAAAGGTTCCTATTCGTTCCTGGCATGATATTGAGAAAGATAATGCACGTTTCATGAAAAAGGCAACCAAGGTAGGTGCTCCTGGATACAGGCTGTAGTCGTGGTAACCCAGTGCTGGGCTTAGGTTGCTCTGGAGTGACAGCCACTTTGCTGAGGCCATGCTTTGTGGTCAGCAAGTTGTTCTTACCTAGATGACTTTGGAGATCTTGGCTGCTGTTAAATTAACTGTCCCAACTCAGACCATAGAGTGGGTGGCGTTAAAACTACCAGAACTGTTTTGAGATTGAAAACTAGATTTTAATTTTATTTGGATGTTTTAAAAAAATCTCATCTCCATATTCCTATATTTGATTTTATCCCTTTGGTATAGTAAGGCATGCTTAGTGAATAATGTTACTGTTTCATAAAGATAGTTTTCCTCTGTTCACAGCATTATGAGATGCTTGCTAATCGAACTGCTACAAATGGTCACTGCATTGATATTTATGCTTGTGCCCTGGATCAAACTGGACTTTTGGAGATGAAGTGCTGTGCAAATCTTACTGGGTATGTTGACAGCGAACACCTGGGAAACGTGAGAAGTGATGGAACTATAGGAATGGGCAAGGCTGACTTAAATAAGCTTTCAGATAGCTCCGGGCTGCGGATTCAGTGGCTGAGAAGGTGTGTGAGCCTCCTGGAAGAAGAAACAGTGATGAGCAGGAGGTCTCAAGGGTTCAATACATCATATCAGAGTAACTTCATTTTTTTCTTAGAGTTATTAAAGATACCAGAGCAGGAAAGCAAGCATGGAGTATGTGGCCTTCAGCACTTCCTTGTGAAAAGGTGGGAAATTGGGTCTGAATGGCAGAGCAGTTAGGAAAGTGTTCACTTGGCTTAGTGACCTTTCCTCATGACTAACATCAAGTGCACCCTAAGCCTGGAGGCTGCATTGCGGGGTGTACTGACTTAGAGCCTAAGTCCAAATCATGCGCACAGATCACAGTGTAGAGCCACAGTTCTCAAAGTACAGTAAGTGTCCAGCCAGCAACCTTTGGGGCTCTCCTGAGGACTGATGAGAAGTGTACATCCTCCGACCTCACCCCAGACCTCCTTAATCAGAAACTCTGGAGCTGCAGCCTGGCAGTTGGTTTTAGCTAGCTCTCCAGGGAATTCTGATGCATGTGAAAAGTGTGTGAACCACTAATGTGCAGCACTGGTCAAGCCAGCAACACATCAGAATCACCTCGGGAACTTGAAAAACTATTGTTGTCTTGGGTATTGGTCCCAGAGTTTCTGACTTAATTAGCATGGGTTATGGCCTGGACATCAGCATTTTTTAGTTTCCCAGGTGATTCTCATGCAGAGCAGAATTTGAGAACCATCAGTGTGAATGCTCAGTGCTAAGTATGGCTGAGTGCAGGCTGCATCAGCCCACCTGAGAGCTTGTTGGAAACACAGCAACTGGAGCCTGACTCTGGACCTACCAAATCAAATCTGGCATTTGAATAAGATCCCAGGTGATTTGTGTGCACAAAACAGCTTGAGAAGCACTGCTGTAGAGCTCTGGGTTGGTCCAAGATTCTGCATTTCTAAACTCCCAGGTGATGCTGCTGGTCCTCACTGAGTAAAGAGGGGAGGGTAGCAGATAGAACCCAAGTCACCTGAAGCTTTCTTGGAGAGCAGCAGGCGTGCTATGTGGCGGAGTCCCAAATGACACTAGCTGTATCAGTGAGCCACATTTAATCAGATGAACTCCTACCAGTGCCCTCTAGGAGTTCTTGACTTAGAGCATCTACACAAAAGCTTTAGTGTATTCGTGAACATTTCCCAGTGTGTGCACTAGGGTTTATGTGTATGTTTGTTTGTTCTTTGGAGAGGGACCATCACTTCCATCAGATTCTCAGTGAGGCCTTTGACTCCTGAATCACTTCGTATTTAGGTCACATCACCTTTTGCACAAATATAGTATCAGGGAAATGTGTTAGCAGTGACATTAAAAAAAAAAAAGATTTAGAGATTTTAGTTAATAGCTCACCTAAAGCGAGCCAGCAGTTTGAGATGACTTCCAACAAAGGCAAGGTGATCCTAGACTTGTTATAGGAGTCGATTATCTTCAAAGAAGGTCATAGTCTTGATTTCCTTGGTGCTAGTCACACCTTATCACCATTATAGCATCTTCCATTCTGAGCATTTCAGTTCAAAAGGAATGTATAGATGAACTGGAGATGCTCAAAGGGGAGCGGTAAGAGTGAAGGAGAGAACCTGAAACTGTGTCATGTGGAGGGTGACTGAAGGAGCTAGAAAAGATGCTGAAGACAGACAGGGCATGAGAAGTATATTCAGCAATTGCAGGCCTGTCCTCTGGAGAAGGAATCTGTTCTGTTTGTGATCGAGAGGTAGCCCTAGAACCAGTAGTGGAAGCTGCTGGGAAACAAGAATTTTACTCAGTATAAAGGAAGACCATGTGCAAGCACGGACTGGACTGCCTCTAGAGAGTGTAAATGCTCAATGCTGGAGGGGTCTAATCTAGTGGGTTGTTGGAAAAGCATGACATATTTTTTTCTGTTTTTCATTGCGGAAATGTGGCATGACTTTTTCAACAACCCAATAGATGATAACTTGGCAGGTGGTTTTCTAGACGGTGGTTGTGAGTCAGGATTAGGTTTGTGTGAGTATGACAGAAAACCCTAAACAGATTTTTCTCTCATTGGAGGTAGGCAGTCAGGGCAGGTATTATTGATTTCATCCTTCTCAGGGACTGAGGCTCCTGTGCTGCTCCACCACCTTAATGTGCTAGCTGTGGTTCAAGATGGTTGCTGGGCTCTAGCTAAGTATAGCAGCAGGAAGGAGGAATGGTCAAAGAAGTACATGCCCCTTCCCATAAGAACACCCCCTCCGGGCCGGCCGAGTGGCGCGATGGTTGAGAACTGGCCTGGGAAGCCAGAGGGCCCCGGTTTGGATCCCACATATGAGGGCCAGTGATGCTGCCCTCTACGGCTGGGATGCTGGACGACAGCTCAACCTGGAGCTGGGCTGCCGTGAGTTGCCGGTGACGGTGTGGGCTGCAGCCCCTGCTGCAGTGGGTTGCCATGGGCTACTGTGTGTAGCCAGCAGCCAGCGTGAGCGGCCATCCAGGGGCCGGCGACTGATCTGCCTTGCCCGGGAAGAGTGCAATGATGGTGCCAACTTGGTCCAGTGGGGCAACGTCCTCCACAACTAGACTGAAGAACAAAATGACAGCAACTTGTCTGTTCCCCTTCCCCCAATTCCCCAACGCTGTTCCCATCCCCCCAATTCCCCAATTTAAAAAAAAAAAAAAAGAACACCCCCTCCTCACCAAATCACTAAGGCCACTTCGAGTAGGCAAAGCTGAGTCACGGCTACATGCAAGGAAGGCTGGGAAATATAGTCTTTATTCCAGGAAGCCATGGATCCCATGACTAAGGACAGTGTGGAGGTTGGATATTTGGGGCCAAAAAGCAGTCACTGTCAGTGGAGGAGTTAGACACTCTGAGGTAGCTGGACCAGACAATCTTGTGTTCCTCCCAGTTCTAATCCTGTTTAATGATCAACAGCTAGATGTATAAAGTGCATCAAGCTGTGGTCATCTCCCTAAATACATGAAATGCTGAAATTTTGAACAGTATTTTCTAACTTCAAAAAGAGATGAATGTAGATACTCATAAACTAGAAAAAATAATTCATGTAAGTCCAAGGATTTAACATTTTGAGGCATTGAAGTAACCTGAAAAGGATTTCCCACAAGCCTGGGTGGTTTTTCCATACCAAAGAAGTATGAGAAGAGTTCGGGATGTTTTTTGTCTTAATGATGATCAATTAAACCTGTACCTGTGGATTTATTGATTGGAGGTTTGGGGTTTGTTTTTTTGTTGTTGGTTTTTTAATGTGGATTCACAAATTGTAAAAATAGTGCAAAGAGGTCTGTTCATACTGTTCATCTAACTACTCCCAGTGGTAACATCTGCCATAAATACAGTACAGTGTCAAAACTAGGAAACTGACATTGGCACAATACAGACCTTACATGGATTTCACCAGTTTTTACATGTACTCTTTTTTTTTTTGTATGTGTATATGTAAAGTTATGTGAGATTTGTCATCTCTATAAATTTGTATAACTACTACAGTGATCAAGGTAAAGAACTGTTGTAAATCGTTCAATTCTTAAAGTTTTAAAAATAATATCTTTCCTAAGTACAAATTGAACTTGCTGTTTTCCATTTAAGTTAGTCAGTAGCACCTTTATGGACATGGTGCCTTTTTTCTTCTTCCTCTTCAAATTGTTTGTAAATATTGAGGGAGCATCTGAATGGCTTTCAATCATCCTAAATGTTCACTTTTTTTACTTTCCTAGAGGCTACATGATGATGGGAGATTCTTTCAACACTTCTCTCTTCAAGCAGACATTCCAAAGAATTTTTAGTAAAGATTTTAATGGAGACTTCAGAATGGCATTTGGTGCTACTTTGGAAGTAAAGGTACAATAGATAGTTTAAACTTTAATGGAAAAAGTGTTCTTACTTATTTCATAGTCAGAGTTACGGAAGCCTAAACCTGCTGTACATCGAAAAGTAAATTAAAAGGTTCCAAAAAAAGTGTATTCATTTATTCTATCCCTTTACTTCTTGAGGATGGCCTGTATAGTTAGTAATGTTTTATTGGGTTGTTGGAAAAGTCATGACACATGTTTGGGACAGATGGCACTAGTTTACTTTTGGAAGTATTAGCGTCATTCGCATCTATGTTATTGCTATGTCATTTGACAGCTGACAGTTCTAGCTTCATTCTAAAAAAATTGAGCGATTTGGTTGAGTTTTGGAGATTTTACAACAAGTTGAAGATGGAAGACCAAACTGCATTTTTGCCATATTTTACTGTTTTACTTCCATAAAGGGAAGAACGCGTGTCAAACTTGTGAAAAGTTGCATAAAGTTTATGGTGGCAATGCTGTACAAGCACGTCAGTGCCAGCAATAGTTCATGAAAATCTGTGCTGGTGATTTTGATCTCAATGACGCTTCTCAGTCAGGGAGGCCCACCGAGGTTGATGACGACAAAATAAAGGCATTGATCGAGTCAAACCCGTTACATGACACTAGAGATTGCAGAAACATTGAACATCCATTATTCAAGTGTTCATGGCTCTCTGAAGAAGCTGGGATATGTAAGCAAGCTCGATATTTGGGTTCCGCATTTGATCGTGCATATAAACATCTGCAATATGCTCATGAAACGTGAGGAAAATGATCCTTTTTTGAAGCGACTGATAACTGGTGATGAGAAGTGGATTGTTGACAACAATGTGGTGCGCAAATGGTCTTGGTCTCGACGTGATGATTCACCTCAAACGACATCAAAAGCAGGCATTCATCAGAGGAAGGTTATGCTGTCAGTGTGATGGGATTTTAAAGGTGTCATGTTTTTTGAGCTCCTACCAAGGAACCAAACAATCAATTTGAATGTGTACTGTCTGCAGTTGGACAGTTTGAACGAATCCATCATCCAGAAACATCCAGAGCTTGTTAATTGTAAAGGAGTTGTGTTCCATCGTGACAACGTGAGACCACACACAAGTTTGATCACCCATAAAAAATTATTGGAGCTTGGATGGGATGTGTTGCCACACCCACCATACTCGCCTGACCTTGTGCCGTTAGACTTCCACTTGTTTCGCTTTCTTCAAAACTCCTTATGTGGTATAACATTGAATTCAGAATCAGCACCTTGTTGAGTTTTTTGCAAATAAAGACAGGTCCTTCTATGAACGAGGATTATGACGCTCACTGAAAGATGTAAAAGGTTATTGAACAAAACGGGCAATATATCATTGATTGATCTTTGTTCCTTATATAAATAAATGACTTTTGAAAAACATAGACAAAATACGTCATGACTTTTCCAACAACCCAATAAACAAATTGTTGTCTGGCTCCTCTGCAGGCTCTTCTGTGTCCTGCTTTAGGACAACAGGCCTTAGAAGGGATGGTGGGCTGAGCACAGGCAGCCACGCAGTGTGGAGTGTCCACCCAGCTGTCAGTAATGGGCTGCTGCATGTACAGAACCTTAGTTTATGTTTAGTGCCTACCTGAAAGGAGCCGAGGTGCTCTAAAATAGTGCAGATTGTGAGTTTTGGGTTTTGTTTTTCTGTATGAAGCCTGATAGCCCTACATACTTGATTCTAAGTCATTGAGAAAACATTACAAGGGTCTGTTAGAACATAGGATTGGAGTTATTACTTTGAGAATTGGAGATGATCATTAAATCATCTAGGTTAAACTTCAAACAACATTCTCAGATGTTTGAGTTTGTCTTTTTTTTAAGATGAAGAAGAATGGACTTTGCTGAGATGACTTCCAAATTTAAAAGTCTTAAATATGGTTATTGGCCATGTTATTATGTTGGAGTTCATGAATTAACTATTTTTAAAGCAACACAAGACAGTATATTCACTGATTAGAAATTGTAATTATGACTACATGAAATTGGAAAAGAATGTAGTATTTGTTAGAGTAACAACTGTGCCTTCTGTGTGTACAATAATTTCTAAGTTGAGAAAGTTGAAAATGCTGCATCGTTTTTGGAACAAAGATAATACAGTGTCTACAGTAGGACTTTACTAAAGTTTTAATCAGATCACAGTGGCCTTGAAAAAGCTTTGTAAGAGCATTTGTATACCATAATCCATGTGGGTTTTTCTCCTGATGGAATAATAATGCTGCCGTATTTTTCCTCTAAGTTTTAGTGGTGACCTTCATGAGAGCAGAGTGATTCTCAATGATTTGTAACTTTATTCTCTTCTATTTTAGACCTCTCGGGAACTGAAGATTGCAGGAGCCATTGGTCCTTGTGTATCTCTGAATGTGAAAGGACCATGTGTGTCAGAAAGTGTAAGGAAAACTCCCTCCTTCACCTTCACTTCCTGTACCCTGAGATTAGCTCATTGGAAATGTCGGAGTGTGAGGACTTTGCATTGTGTTACTTGTTGCGAAATGTCTGAGAGGTTGTGTCATTTCCATCCATCCCTCTGTCTAAAGGGTCAGAAAAGAGGAAACTGAGGCTCAGAGAGATTTAAGTGTCTTGCTCAGGGTTAGAGCTGGCATGGAGAAGCTAGAATCCAGGTCCCCCTGACCCCACTACCCATGCTTGAGTTACTGTGCCAGTGAGCCACAGGCATTCTATTGAGGTCAAGGTAAACATTCAACAAAATCCTTCAGACATAAAGCTGTCTACTAGTTACACTTAGAGATGATACCTTTGTCTCACTTCTCATAGATCATTTTGAGTTGGTTGGGCAGTGGACGACACTTGTATAGACATTTGTGTTCCTTGAGTAGCAAATTTTGAGTATATGTGAACAAAGCTACTACTAGAGGATGAGGTGGCTTTGGTGATGGTCTGCTTCCTCTGATTATACTCCTACTGCCAAGAGATAAACCACTGGTTCAGTGAGGCCTGTCCAGGGTGGTTCTGGGCTGGGGTTATAGCCATGTCTTTCCCTCATTGTCCTCTTCAACAAGAGGGTGGACTGTAGAGCCAGATGTGAATTCAGTGCACAGGTTTACCATGGATAAGTGTGGCTTGGATAAGGCACCTAATCAGTCTGGGAGTCCATGTCTGTCTGGGAATGGAGATAATAATAGTATTGTACTTTATACTGTTAGAAGGATTAAATGAGTTAGTTCAAGTAAAGCACTTGGAACAGTTCCTGGCACAGTGGAAATCCACAGTAGATTTTATCTTTGTCTTCATCAGTAATGAACATTTACTTTGTGACCCCTTAGATAAAACTTTTGTTGAAGTTGACAGAGGCGAGACTTTTTGAGAGGACATTCCTGTAGTCCCTGGGTGAGGCAGGTTGATGCCCCAAAGCCCATCTGATGAGTCACTCATTACCCCAGTGTCCTAAGGGACTTGTACCGCTATTTCCTGGTAGGGCTTTGGAAGGCTGCCGTATTCAAAACATTTTCCATAGCCTTGAAATCTGCCTAATGAAGACTTCATGAAGTAGTTTAAGAGGATAATTTTATGAATTAATACAAACTGATTAGCTGTTCTAGGACCCAGTAGGCACTAGCCATGAAATTTTTGGATGGGAGATAGAAGATGCAAAACAGAGGAAAATACAATTTTCAAACATGCAGAGAAATTTAGAAAGAATATAATGAATTCCTGTATACCCACCATTTAAAGTCAGTAATTCACATTTTGTCATAATTGCTGTGTCATCATTTTTTGCCGTATTTGCTTTATCTATTTAATTATCATCTACTTGGCATGTTTGCTTTATGATCTGTTTTTGTGGAACCTTTGAAAACAAGTTGCAGACGTCATGACAATATTTCATTACTTCAGTATGTATTTAAAAATAAGGATGTTCTCTACTACATTGTTATCAAACCTAAGAAAACAATTTCCTATTATCATTTAATATCTAATCCCCATTTTCCCTAATTTCATCCCAAATTCCCTATGTAGCTGTTTTTTCCCCCTCTAACTGGCATTGCATTTGGTATTATCTTTAGTCTTTTTAAATCTGGAATAGCCTTCCTGTTGTTTTTTTGTTTTGTTTCATTTAATGACACTGATTTGTTGAAGAGACAGTGCCAGGTGTTTTCTATAATAGAGTATCCCACATTTTCGATGTGTCTGATTGTTTCCTTGCAGTGCTGTTTAACATGTTTCTATCCTCCATGTATTTCCAGTAAAGTCAAAGTTAGGTTTGAAAGTGTGCTTAGATTCAGGCTAAGTCGTATTGTCCAGCATATGGTACTTCCTGAATAATCTGTGTACTTCGTGCTGCGTTTCATCAGGAGGTACTTTGGCTCGGTTGTCATCCTATGTTAATGGAGCTGAGTTAGGTTGTATGGTGAAGATGATGACTGCCTGGTATCTTTCCGTTATTAGGGCACATTTCCCCTTTGCCATCATTAGCAAGAAATTGGTTGAATGAGATTATAGCACAGTGTGAATATCTTGTTTGTCAACAGCCTTCCACCTAATGGTTTTAGCGTCCATTGATTATCCTTACTGAATCAATGTATTTCATTGGAGATTATAAAATGGTGATTTCCTAATTCTATCTTTATGGTTCCTCTGATAAAGGTAGGGTAAATGCTTATGTAAGGAATTTGTATATTAGTGAGTGTAGTTTTAGAGCTGTGGAGGGTTTGTGTCACGCTGGGCCTTAGCTGTATGGGATGAAAAAGACTTTTTTCTTCTAACCATCTTAGCTTCAGGGCTCTGCAAATTACCGTATTTTGCAGTGTATAATGTGCATCCATGTTTTCGGCCCAAACTTTCAGGGAAAAAAATATTTCGCTTTAATTTTTTAATTCAAATTTTATTTGTTTACATTTAGGTACTTGTTCTTGTATTATAAAGGAATTTTAGCATGTACTTTTTAACATTATGGAACAAGAAACTTTATGTAACAAATAATTACAAAACACAAGAACAGATAGAAGGTACAAGAAATTTTATGTACTGCTAACAAATTTATGATATTTACACATCATAGAAGGCCAAGAACTCTTCATCGTTGCAAGTTTGTTGTAAGTTCAGCAAAACCAATTATCATATTCCAGGGTATTATTTTGCATATGGATCTCATCATTGATTTCTAGAGTTACACTTTTAACTCGTAAGCATAAATAAAAGAATTAAAAACATTTATATAGATAAGGAATTAGTACTAGACATGTATAATGCACATCCTTATGTTTTCCTCACAAATTTGGGCAAAAATGTGCGCATTATACATGGCAGAATACAGTAGACTGACAAAAGACAGATTAATAAGAATAAAACAAATAAGTCTATTAATGTGTGTACCACACATACACACATCACACATACATACTCAGTGATGAGTAACTTCACGGACTGGTTAGAACTTGGGATTATATAGCATCTTAACAAAAGAACAATAAATTTGTAGAAAAGTGACAAGATAGAGGAAAGGGACTTTGAGCTTCTAGGGAACCAACTTGTGGAAAAGTAGATAATATGGACAAACTAATGGAAGATGATGTTCTTTCAGCAAAGTTTGTTCTGTAGATTCCTTTGGTGCCATTTCTGGGCTGACAAGCATCTAATGTTGTCTTTGGTGACTAATAATCATTCTGCCCTTCCTGGTAGAGAGGGGAGGGCAGAGAATTTTTCTTGTGTCTGCTTTTTTTTTAATTGCATTCAGCTCAAAAGAATCCTTATATAAGAGTGGCATATTTTGTGGTAGCATACTCTGAACCTCTTGATCCCCCCATTTGAAACTTTAAAAAAAAGCTTTATATAGTAAAAATGGAGTTGGTAGGTATGGATAGAGATTCGGGAGAAAGGGTTAGCAAGGCAAGAAAGGGAGGCATGCAAGTTTCTTTTTACTTCTTTGCCATTTTTCCTGGGTTTAGCTCTTCTTCCAGATGTTACCTGCTTCTTTTAGAAAAGGCCACCAAAAGGGAAGGTGAATATTTATGAATCCATCCATCTCATGATCTTGCTTAGGAAATACTGATGAAACAGAATATGTCCTTCCCACTCCCCACCTTAGAGCTGCTATGTAATTTCCCTTAAGAATCTTCCCTTCCCTCTGTGACCATCACCTCTTTGAGCTTGCTTTTTCTGTGGCCAGTTACATAGGCTCCAAGCATGGCTTCATAGACCAGACTGGCATTAGCTGTACTCACCTGATAGCGTACAGTTTGGGGTAGATTCAGAGTAATGTAGAAGAAACATTATGACTCCCTTAGTGCTTAATCCCCATTACTTTTTAGCATGGCATTCCTCATTTTTTTTTTTCCTAAAGATTTTATTGGGGAATTGGGGGAGGGGACCAGCATTGGGAAATCGGGGAAGGGGGACAGATAAGTTGCTGTCCTTTTGTTCTTCAGTCTAGTTGTGGAGGACATTGCTTCACTGGCCCATGTTGGTATTATCATTGCGCTCTTCCCAAATGAGGCAGTCAGTCGCCGGTCTCTGGACGGCCGCTTACGGTGGCTCTTGGCAGCTCATGTCGGCTGCCAGCCACCCACGCTGGCTGCCGGCCACTCACAGTAGCTTATGGTAGCCCACTGCAGCAGAGGCTGCAGCCTGTGCCCTCGCCAGCGACTCATGGCAGCCCAGCTACAAGTCGAGCTGTTGTTCACCATCTTAGTTGCAGAGGGCAGTGTCACTGGCCCTCATGTGGAATCCGAACTGGGGCCCTGCTGCTCAGAGCTGGCATCCCAAGCCAGCTCTTAACCAACACGCCCCTCGGCCAGCCCTGGTATTCCTCATTTTGATGAGATGTGTTAAAACGTGTAACTTGCTATCTCTAGAATGATAGAATGTATGTTTCAGAGTCCAATGATCTTGGGGTTGGTGATTCTAGGTATTTTTGACACCTGCTGCCTTTTCTTCTAGATGGCATACTTAAAACATTTTTGTGAACCTCATATTTATCACTGGAAGCCATTCAACTAGTCAGTAAAAAGCAGCTTCATACCATAAAAATCTCGATTCTCTTACCAAGAATTTATATGTAGTTTCAAGTTAAGCAGATAATTCTTTTTCTTTTCTACTGTTTACTTCTTCCTCAACGCTACTATTTACTTCTTCCTCAGTGCTGACTTGGTTCTTTCAGTTGACTTCAGTGTTATGTGCTCTGTGTGTGTGTGTGTGTGTGTGTGTGTGTGTAGAGAGAAAGAGAGATCAGAGTGCCAGTATAAAACAATTAATTTTAAAGTACTGTAAATGTAATGTTAAACCTTATTCTTGTCCATATTTGTACTTAGTTAAATTTAAATTTTCACTTGGAATGAGATATTCTAAGGGGCTTACCCTTCTCTTAGTACTTTTCATCAGCAGTTAACCATAGGAGTAGCTTTTTTGTTTGTTTTTTAATTCCTCTTCTCACCCCTAGGAGCTTGGTGTCGGTGGCACGAGTCAGTGGAAAATCTGTGGCCTGGATCCCACATCTACAGTTGGCATCTATTTTGAAGTAGTCAATCAGGTAAGTTGAATTTCTTCACAAATATTCATGTCTCAGTGTTGTGCTTTCTGATTTATTACAGACTGGTGGCCTCTGGTTTCTGTCTCTGCATACTGATGCTGCTTTGGGCTTGTGTTTGACCTGATACCAGTCTGGCATGGTCTCTTTAATTCCAGGGTTTTGTCTGAGTAGGACAGCGAATTTCTTTTCTCACTTTATTGTTTAGAAGAGTAATGGCATTTACCAGCCACTGTAATGTTGGTGAATTTTTGAGTACATCTTTTTGCGATATTTTATTTTTAAAAATTAAAAAATACAGAAAAATTAAAAGACATATACAGTAAACACCCGTATGCCCACCACTTGGAATCAATCTGTAATTAACATTTTACTGTATTTGCTTTATCATATATTTATCCATCTTTTTTTTTTTTTTTTAAATTGGGAAATTGGGGGAGGGGAACAGACAAGTTGCTGTCCTTTTGTTCTTCAGTCTAGTTGTGGAGGATGTCGCTTCACTGACCCATGTTGGTATTATCATTGCGCTCTTCCCGGGTAAGGCAGATCAGTCGCTGGCCTCTGGACGGCCGCTCACGACGGCTCTTGGCAGCTCACACCAGCTGCCGGCCACACATAGTAGCTTATAGCAGCCCACTGCAGGAGGGGCTGCAGCCTGTGCCGTCGCTGGCGACTCACGGCAGCCCAGCTCCAGGTTGAGCTGTTGTTCACCATCTTAGCTATAGAGGGCAGTGTCATTGGCCCTCATGTGGGATCCAAACCAGGGTCCTGCCGCACAGAGCTGGCGTCCCAAGCCAGCTCTTAACCAATGCGCCACTAGGCTGGCCCAATCCATCTTATTTTTGATACCCTTCAAAGCAAATTGCAGTTATTGGTGTGTTTCATCCCCAAACCCTTTAGCATGGCATATCATTAATTGAGTTCAGTATTTATTTGAATGTGGTTCTTTTTTTTTTTGAGGTAAAAGTTATATACAGTGAAATGCCCAGATTTTAAGTGTACCATTCAAAATTCAAAAGAACCTCCCTGTCACTGCCATGCCAGTTGTTTTAGGAGGAGCACAGTGGGCATGACTGTGCTTGAGTCATGCCTGTAACAGTAATGGGGTCTATGGTCTCTTGCCCTCCAGCACAATGCCCCGATCCCCCAAGGAGGCAGAGGTGCCATCCAGTTTGTCACGCACTATCAACACTCCAGCACCCAGAGACGCATCCGTGTGACCACCATTGCCCGAAAGTAAGCAAAACTGGTTTCCTTTCTGTTGAGCCACTGACCAGTGTTTTTCCCTTTGAAGAGATAATTTAACATCTGGTAATTTATCTTTGTAATTCCATGGAATGGTTCTCGCCTATCCTCATTGGCTCATTTGATCAGAGGAGGAAGAGGCATTGTTGACTTAACCCAGTTAAGCCTATGGGCACTTGCCTAGAGGAATCATCCTTCAGTAGGAATAAGTTCATTCAAAATTATCTTTCATTATTTTATTTATAGATAAGTAACCCATAAATACATCCTCCTTATAAATGATTCAAGCAGCACATAAGCATATAAAGAATAGGACTCTTGGACCACCCTCCCCTGCGGTAAAATGCTGTTACAGCACTGACATTTAAATCAACTTCATAATCCCATTTCTGTGCAGTTATAAGTTTTCATCAGTAATGTGTGTTATGACATTTTCTATGTCAGTATGTAATAAACTTCTATCTCATTCATTTTAATGACTGAATAGTGTTAAATGGTTTGAATGGGATGTACCACTCTATTAAAGGTCATTTCAAGTCCTATTTTCCTCCCAATAGTGCTGCATTCATATATTTAGGTCTTGGTGTACATGAATATTTCTTTCCAGTCACTTCACAGAAGTGTAATTTTGGATAATGCAAAACTACTCTTCTAAGAAGCTAATTTGTATTCTCCCCAGTAGTGCAAGGAGAGTGCCCTGTCTCCTCACTAATAATGGATAGTATCAAGTCTTTAACATGTAAATGTGGAGCAATATGTCACTTTTATATGTATTTTCCCATTTCTCATAGGTTGAGCATTTTCCATGCTTATTGGCCATATGTATTTCTTCTGTGATAACCTTTGCCCATTGTGAAACTTGTTTCTTTTTCATTGATTTGGAGGATCTCTTATATATTTTGGATATGATTATTGTTTGTTGCTCATATCCATTCCTGGTCTATATGTTGTCGTTGAGCTTTGTTCAGTGTCTTTATTCATGTGGAAAACTTTTGTATACGTGCTAATTCTTCTACCATGATGTTGGGGAAGTTATTTTGTGAATTTGTAAACATGAAGATTTTTGTAAGATTGACCTAGAGAAAGGAACACTGGCTGGAGGCATAACTTGTGGGTATCTACTTTTATGATGTGTTGTGGAATATTGGGAAATTCTGTATAATTTTGCTTTTGTGCTTATGGCCTTCAGAGATCATAAGGGAAAATGAAAATGTATATATAACTCCTGTGATTCCTTACTGACAGTGCAGTTCGAATCTGTGTTTCAGATGAAGGAACAAGACTTATGTTTCTTTATCTTAATGGAGAGCTGACTTTCTGGTCTCCTGAATGTAAGTATGGTACTAACTCTGGAATTGTCAGTTGGGCAGATGCACAGAGTCAGCTCAAGCACATAGAAGCAGCATTTGACCAGGAGGCCGCAGCAGTCTTGATGGCACGGCTAGGAGTGTTCCGAGCTGAGTCGGAAGAGGGGCCTGATGTTCTGCGGTGGCTGGACCGACAACTGATCCGACTGGTAAGTTGGGAACACTGTACTGGGTTCCATTTTGGTCTCTGCTCTACTTTTGAGCAAAGAAAACTCACTTAAACCTATTATTTTATACAGTCAGTCAACAAGAATTTATCAGATGCTTACCTTATGCCAAACACTGGACATTCTGAGAGTGATAAGAAACAAGTATTAAACAGGCATTTTTCCTCAAGAGCATACATTACAGTTGGGAAGAAATAACGCGCATAGGACATTTATTAGAGAATGACGCAAATCTATGTATGTGAATTATTGACTTAGATGAGTCACACTGGCCTGCATTTCTCCCCCACATTTTAGAGATTTTTTTGTTTTTTGCAAGTAGGGGTCCATGGCCCAGTGAGTGTAAGGGAGATGCTTAATGTGTCATTCTGGGTCTAATCAGAAGAGAGAAACCACACAGTAATTTAAATGGAATTTTATGTAAAGAATTATCACAACAGGGGATTAGGATAATGAGGGATTGGCTAGTAAGAAATAAAGGGAACTCTAAAGAATATAGGAATAGCAGATAAGAGGCAGCTGCTCACTGCTTCTAGCAGTCAATTTAGAGTTAGAGCACCCAAGGCAGAACTGCCCTTGCCCCCAGGGCGGGTCTAGACCTAGGTGGAAGGGAACAGCATGGCTCATTGAGTCTCATGGCAGAGAAGTTGCTATGGTGTGCCAAAGAACTTATTAGAAACTCACCCTCCAGAACTGGATGAAAATTCACCATCTTGGCTGGGTGCCAAGGAAGACTGTGCACAGGAAAGTGTCTCACCAGGAGCACATGGGGGCGGGGAAGCCACAGGGCAGCAGCTGAGTGGAGCACACTGGAACCCAGAAGCAAACACTTGCTTCCAGCACCCTCTACTGACAGAGCTTAACATCATGCCAGACAGCAAAGGAAAAACATTTTAAAGAGCCCAGATCACAGTAGGCCAAAAGGGTAAATTTGGAGCCATGAGGCAATAAATCAATAACTGCCATACCTCATAATTTTACCTTCTGGGAAATTCACAGCAGCTATTTGTGATCAGAGGCACTGAAAGCCCAGTAAAGAAAGCTGTTTAACTTTCTTTAGCCCTATGCGTATGTTTGCCCTTACTATTTCATGGAACCACTTTTACAGAACATTTCAAACACAATTTAAAAATTGAGCAGAGGGTCCAAATGTTGGCAAAGGCTTCATGTGGAAAATGAGCCTTGAATTAAGTCTTCTAAAAAAAAGAGTAGGATAGTGGGAGCAGGGAAGGCAAGGCTTGCCAAGTGGAGGGCCCGAGTCCAGAGGAGGTAGCTGTGCACTTCAGCATATGCGAGGGTCATTGGCGAGACCACCGTCACAGAGGCCAAGTTGTGCAGTGGGGAAAGAGGCAGTGAAAGTGCAACTTGATTATGGAATGTCTTAAAGTTAAGTCACTGCCTTAACGTTAGAGAGAGAGGACTTACGTGTGATTCCTAAGTAGGGTTGTGACAGCAGTGTGATGCTCGTGTTTACATTTACCATTGCCACATAAGGTAAATTGTAGAGTGAGAAGGCTACCGTCAGGGAGACCGGTGAAGGGGCTTTCTAGCTCAAGAGAGCTGAGACCAGGGTGGCGGCAGTATAATTAGTGGGGAAGAGGCGTTTGGAATCGGGATGAATGCTAAAGGAAGAACTGATAAAACTTGGTGAAACTATATGTGAAATCAAAAACCAGTAAGTTGAAATTGACTAAAGTTCCAAATGTGGGTAACAGCGATAATGACGGTGAGATAGAAAATAGAAAAGCAGAGTAGCTTTAAGGTGAAGGAAGATGAATCTTTTTTTTTTTAGTGTAATAGTTTATTTTTGATAGGCTGAGCATGAACTTACAAAAGTATGTCCAAGGAAAGCTATCCTGTAGTTAGGTGGAGGTCAGCACTGGACATAGTGGAAGAATTTGAATGACGTTGGTCTGGCTCTAGTGTTCATTTGTAGCTGAAGCAGTGAGCATAGGAGCAGGGGGCCAAGAACTAACCTCTAAGGAGTCCATAGTTAAGAGGAGTAGGAAGATGAGGTACTGTTGAAGAAAGCAGAGAAGGATTGGCTGGGGAGATAATGGAAAATAGCAAAGTACTATTTTAACTGCTGAAGGACAGAGTTTCTGAGAAGTTTGGGTAGTCACTTGGCTCGTGGTGTTAGTGAGTTCAGGAAGTTGAGAACTAGGCAAGGACATCAGATTTAGTAGGAAGAAAGTGATTGTCAGAGATAAGCTTTGCTTACATGGTGGGTAATCTGATTCTCTAGTGGCCAAAGAAAGTGTGTGAAATGAAGAAATAAAGACAGGAAGAGAAATAATTTTTCAGAAATTGGCATTTGAAAGGAAGAAAATTGAGTTGTAGAGTGATAGAATGTCAAGATTTGTATATAATTGGTAGTATTTTATGGTCTTAGAGGGTTTTCTTATGGAAAAGGCATCTGAGAACTCATCTAGCTCCTCACTAGTCAGAGTGGTGGTCCTTGACCAGCATGGCCTGGAAGCTGGTTAGACATGCAGGGTTTCCAGGCCCTCCCAAGGTCGGCCGAATCAGAATCTGCATTTTAACAACAATCCAGATATGTCTGCCTGTCTGTGCCTGAGAAGTACAGGTCTGGGATTCAGTCAGTCAGTGGCAGAGTTGAGATTAAAACGTAGCTCTCCTAATCCATGGATTTTTCCAGATGACACTAATTTAGGGTTTGTTTTTTTCTTCCCCTTTTTGCTATTTTCTTTCAACAGTGTCAGAAGTTTGGACAGTATAACAAAGAAGACCCCACTTCTTTTAGGTTATCAGATTCCTTCTCTCTATATCCTCAGGTAAGAAATACATGTTTCTAAAATAACTATAGAAGAATAAATTGTGATAGAAATAAAACTCGCTGCTCTTGGGGCAAAGTGAAGAGTTGGTATGTTTAGAGACTCAGGCTATAGGTGATGAAGGTTGTTCGCTTCAAGACAAATACTGTGTCTCTGCAAGACAATCCCTGAGCCCTACAGAAGACAAAGATGACATGCAGAGAGGAGAAAAATACGTGTATAAACTTTTAATGAAAAGGCAAAACAGGATCGTTGCTATAAGACCACAACAAAATCTCTTAATTTGTAGAAGTTCTGGATGGACAATAAGCTATCTCAGCAGCAAACAAACAAACAAAAAATGAAGCACACATGAAGATGAATATAATAAAAGAGACCACGTTAATATGACAGATACTTAATGATATGTCCATGGTTATTATGCTGCACTGTAACTAGGAATCAACAGTAATAAGCAGCTCCTGTAAATAACTGCTTTATGCAGAAACGATGCATTGGGGAGCCATTGAACAAGGAAAAGGAGGGTAAGTGGAGCGAGCACGAAGCTGCTGCCAGGGATCTGGGTGTTTACCTTTTCTGAACCTCCATCTTTACCTGTAAATGAGGAGACTTGAGCTTAACTCAGTGGGTGGCTGTGAGGATTATATGTGCTGAGGCCAATCAAATGTCTAGTGCTAAGTATATGTGAGCCAGCTCCACTGCTGGGGCCCAGGGCTTTCAGGTTGGGCCCTTCACAGGGTCAGCTTTACCAGAACTAGAAGCAAACTCAACTTTATTTCCTCTTCCCTCAGGGGCAACTTTATGAGGAATAAATAGAAGCAAACTTTCATTTTTATGTAACTTGGCAAGGAGTTAGGTATCCAAATAAGTATTATCCTTTCAAATACTTGCTTTAGAAAGTGGACACCGGTTTCAGTCATGAGCTTGTATAGCTTGGACTCTTAGGGTTACAAAGGGGCCTCAGAGGTCACCTCACTTGACCCCTAGCCCAGGGTAGGGAGGACTCTGTGGTCCCTGATGTGCTCCCCTCCTTGGGCCTGTGACCGGGCAGTGTAGGCTGTGCAGCATTGTGGAATGAGTCAGAGCCAGGGCCAGCTTCTAGCACTGACTCCACTGCTGCTGATCTTGGGTGAGGTCCTAGACCCCTGTGGATGTTGGTTTCCCTTTTAGTAGGAAGGAGGTGCTCTGGAGAAGTGGTTCACCATCTTTATCAGCTATGGAATCCTTTCTTAGGACTCTCTGAAAGCCAGCATGTAAAGCAGACAGACTTGGGTGCTGCCGTGGTGGTGCTCAAGCACCACCCCCACCCCGCAGCCCTGAGATTTCTTTGGGACTCAATAGTACAGTTTGAAAACCACTGAAGGAGATGGTTTCTAAGATTCTTTTTGTCGAGGCATCGAAGATAGAGGTCAAGAGCCTCAGCCTGGGGCCGGCCGAGTGGTGCGATGGTTCAGAGCTGGCTTGGGACACCAGAGGGCCCGGTTCGGATGCCACATATGAGGGCCAGTGACACTGCCCTCTACAGCTAAGATGCTGAACAATAGCTCATCCTGGAGCTGGGCTGCCGTGAGTCGCCAGCGATGGTGTAGGCTGCAGCAC